TGGTCTGCTTCTCATATATAAGAAATAGCTTTGAGAATGGTCTCTAGCTTATGGCATGCTTGAACCCTGCATGTAGCCATATCATTGTTCAGCAGCCTGCCGTGCTCTGCTGACCTTGTGACTTTCAATGGCCTTGAATGAATGGCCTGCTGTATGGTTTGGTAACATTGGGATTGTGCCATTTATTTGTTGACCTTGGGCTTGTTAGCCTCAGCAGCCAGTAGCAGTCTGAGTGAAGAGATGCCTCTAGCTTCAGTGGGCCGGGAGCAGGAGGCAGAGTTGAAACCCAAGGTTGAGGGGCTTTCACCTTGTCCTTAGAGCTTGGCACTTTGAACTTGTACTTCTAGCCTCCTGAACTGTAGCAGAATTATCTCCTTTTTGTTCAAGCATTCCATTTGTGGTATATTCATGTCAGAGCAGCACTAGGAAACCAAAACACATTGAATTGACTATGTGGTGCTAGAACCATTTTGTTTAAAAAGCTGAAAATACCAAATCTTTTTGTTCAGTGGCCTGGACCCAGATCTAACTTTATCCAGACTTCCTTGAGAGGCAGAAGAGCTGAGGGCAGGTTCCAGACTCCCATCTAGGACAGTAACATTAACCTTCTTGGGTTTTGCTTTCTCCTTCTATAAAAAAGCATCTATTTCATGGTGTTACTGGGAGAATTAAAGTGAGATGGTACAGGTAAAACACTATGTGCAATTCTGATTGTGATTATTTTACTCACTAAGATCTTTTCCTCATCTTTCTCATCAGCTCTTTCAGATTTCTATTTTGGGCTTAATTGTCACCATGTTAAGAAAGACATCTCTGAACCTCTTTCCCCAGGAAAAGTCAGTGCCCTCCCTACCTCCCACTCCCACCTCCCCCAGACTCCCACAATACTTTGGTTTGTATCTCAGAATGACTTTGACTGGATTTGGGGGTTTCCAGGGCAGGAATCATCTCTGGTTGCCCTGCCCCTAGCTCAGTGATGAATGAATGTTTGCAGAATGATGTGTCATTTGATAAAGCACCTTGTAAGTAGGCTGTGGAAGGGGAGAAGATGGTAATGTCTTCACTCCATTGTCACCAAGAGAATAATGAGACCCCTACTTCATTCTACCCTCACACACCATCATGGGATGGGGTCGCAGGGCTCTGGATTCTTTTATTGTTTTTGCTCTTCATCTGCTCACCCATTGTTGTCTCTGCCTTCCCTCAGGATGAGCATTTCTGTGACTTTGTGGACACTCTCACAGAATATGAGACTAAAAACATTTTGGCTTCCCCCATAATGAATGGGAAGGATGTGGTGGCAATAATCATGGCTGTGAATAAAGTGGATGGGCCCCACTTCACCAAGAGAGATGAAGAGGTAAGTATGCTATAGAAACTGCTGGAAATAGCCATGCTATCATTTTCCTCTAGCTCATGAAGACCCCCAAAACCTTATTATTTATCCTGGACTCAGTTTTCCCATCTGTAAGGCACAGGATGTTTCTCAAAGGAGGGAGAACAGAATCACAGTTAACATGCCGGACTTTGAAGTCAGGAATGTAGGAATAATTGTTCTGGCTCTGTCAATATCTAACTGTTGGCTCAGTCAAGTTACTTCACTTCTCTTTTTTTATTTTTTATTGTGATTTGGGTGAAATTTTACAGAGCAAATTCACTTTCCATACAGCAGTTCACATACACTTTGTCTCATGACATCGACCACAATTTACCACAATGCAACAGCTCCCCTCCCACTTCCTCCCGATAATTACCTCTTCCCTGTGTCCATCCCTCCATGCACTCCGCTCCCTGTGCTGTCTCCCTGTGTGTAAGCAGCCCTTCTTTCTCTCATGATTGTTCTCTCCAAGGAGTGTATCTACCTCAGGTAAATGTTCAACTCATATGCCTGTCTTTTGCTTGGCTGGAAGCCACAGATGTGGGTTCAATTCCAGACCTGACAGGCAGCTAGGGGCCATAGTCTCAGTGGTTCCATCAGGCTCTATTAGACTACTTCACTTCTTTTAACCTCAGATTTCTTATTGAAAATTTGGTGATAATTGCCTCCACTTCACAAGGTACTTGTGATGATGAGATAAAATAATGCACATAAATCACTCATCACCTACCAGAAACCCACTGCTGTTGAGTCAATTCCCTCAAAGCAACCCTACAGGATAGACTAGAACTGCCCCACAGGGTTTTCAAGGCTGTGAATCATTACAGAAGCAGCCTGCCACATCTTTCTTCCATAGAGCACCAGGTGGGTTTGAACTGCCCACCTTTAGGTTCACAGCCAAATGCTTTAACCACTTTACCACCATGGCTCCTATCATGTATCATAGGGACAGAAAAATCAGTAATAGTAACTATTTTTCATTTATACACCCCTATCAGTATCAACTTTTTACATTTTATGATTCTACATTCTATGATCCATCTGCCCAAATTGTCTCTGATGAAATGTTTAAAATATTCAGACATCTGCTGATGGTAGAAGGAGCCAGAGGAAGAATTTCTTCTCATCTACTTCCCTTCATGTTGCTTGATTTTTAGGTTCTCTTGAAGTACCTTAATTTTGCAAATTTGATCATGAAGGTGTACCACCTGAGTTACCTGCACAACTGTGAGACTCGGCGTGGCCAGGTAAGGGAATGGACTTGGCATGTCTTATTACTGAAGCCTTGATGTGGTCAGAGCTGGAAAGACAGGTAGAGATACCTGGGAATGACCAGACAATCTCTGCCCAGCATCCCTACTGTTATGAAGTAGTGGATGTTTGGAAAGCTGTATTACAGTGTGGTTATGTGCACACATTTTCAAGTCAGAAAACTCTTAGGTTTGAATCCCTGCTCGTTCATTTGTCAACTCAGGGTAAGTTAACCTCTCCATGCTTCAGTCTTCTCATTTGAAAATTGAGAATAATTATGGTACTACCCTCAAAAAGATTGTTATCAATAGTAAATGAGATAAAGTATGAGGGCATTTATGGTCAATTATTTTTACTATTATTATTTTTATTAACAACCTACAAGGTAAAGATAATGAAAAGAGTTGGACCTGGTGTAAGCAGATCAATCATTTTGCCTCTTTGAGCCTCAGTTTCTCCATCTATAAAATGGAAAACATTTTCTGTCTACCGCCCTGGGTTTTTGTGAGGATTAAATGAGATAAAATCTTGAGAACATTACAGAATTGTTATTATTCTCCACCTGAATGAGTTGCTGCTGTGTGCTTCAAAAACCTTGTATTTATTTGTTTTAATTTCTTCAGATACTGCTGTGGTCTGGGAGCAAAGTCTTTGAAGAGCTCACTGACATTGAGAGACAATTCCACAAAGCTCTATATACAGTCCGTGCCTTCCTCAACTGTGACAGATACTCTGTGGGTCTCTTGGACATGACCAAGCAAAAGGTAAGAAAACTTCAGCAACAAGCATTTCCAAGAAATGGTTATATGCATGCTGAATGGGGCCCAGACTCTTGCCACCCATTTTGTTGCAAAAGAAAGACACTGGCAACATTTGAGTGGCTGTGAAAACATCCCATTACAAAGAGAGGAGTAAGAGGAAAGCAATCTAGGGCAAAGTGAGTAAAAACAACCTGTATTTTCCCTGTTGTTGTGTGTTGAGTACCTTTTGACTTATCCTGACCAATGACCCCATTTGACAGAGTAGAACCCCTTAAAGGGTTTTCTGAGCTCTAATCTTTAACAAAGGAGCTCTGGTAACATAGTGGTTAGCACATTTGGCTGTTAACCAAAAGGTCAGTGGTTTGAACCCACGAATCACTCTGCAGAAGAAAGATTGAAGCAATTTACTTCCCTGAAGATTTACAGCCTTGGAAACTGCCCATAGGGGCAGTTCTACCCTGTCCTGTAGGGTTGCTGTGAGTTGGAATCAACTTGATGGCAGCAGGTTTAATCTTTAACAACAACAGTGATCTTTATGGAAGCAGATTGCCAGGTCTTTTTTCTGTGGAGCTGCTAGGTGGGTTTGAACTACCAATCTTTTGGCTAGTAGAAAAGCTCTGAACCATTGTATCATCAGGATTCCTGTATTGGAAGAAAACACATGTGAGAAGAAGACTGATAAAATGGTGAAGGAAAGTGATAAAGAAGTTTCTATATATGTTGAATGTCTGGAAGAAGGAAGTTGCCAACTTCAAGAATTCTCCAACAATGTACTGAAAATTGGATGAAAACTCCTTTCCTATGGTTTGTCTAGTCCAGAATGACCCAGGCAATTGAAGTGGAGCCAGATGCTTAGACCTAATGCTTCAGAATGCTCAGGGGCCATATCTGCAGCTCCATATGGCCCCAGCAATGTTCACCCAAAGCAACTGACTGTTCTTTCTTTATTTGTCCCTGCCTCATGGGGATGATCATTCTTTGCCTTACAAACCAAAACGAAACTCACCACTGTTGACTCCTAGTGACCCCTCCTTGGGTTTCCAAGGTGGCATCTCTACAGAACTAGATTGCCCAATCTTCCTTCCAAGGAGTGGCTGGTGGGTTTGAACCACCACCCTTCTGGTTAGCAGTCAAATGCCTTAAGCACTACACCACCAGAGCACCTTTCTCTGTCTTGCAACCCAGTTATCTGGATTTGTGATTTCCTGTCCAAATGACCTGGAGTACAGGATTCTTCTCAGGTCCTTTTGGTATCCTTGTCATGGTGAGTGTGGTACACAGACCAAGTACCCAACCCATTGCCATAGAGTTGATTCTGACTCATAGTGACTCTGTAGGATTGAGTAGAACTGCTCTATATGGTTTCCAAGGCTATAAATCTTTATGGAATCAGACTGCCTCATCTTTCTCCCACATAGTGGTTGGTAGGTTCCAACTGCTGACCTTTTGGTTAGCAGCTGAATGCTTTAACCGCTGTGCCACCAGAGATCCTACACAGATAAAGAAGGCCCTCCAAATGTTTGAATGAATGAGTAAATAAATCACAGAATTTGTGGTTAGAAAAGATCTTAGATCTAGTCCAGAGGTTTCCAAACTTTGCAGCATCAGAATTTTTGAGAAGCTATTTAAAAATACAAGGAGCTCTGGTAGAGTAGTGCCTAAGGCATTTGACTGCTAACCAGAAGTCTGGCAGTTCAAACCCACCAGCCACTCCTTGGAAGGAAGATTGGGCAATCCACTTCCGTAGTGATACCACCTTGGAAACCCAAGGAGGGGTTCACTATGAGTCGTCTCTGACTCAAGCGCAGTGTGTATTTAAAAATACTGGGCTACATTTACTGAGTTGTTGTTAGGTACTGTTGAGTTGGTTCTGACTCATCGTGACCCCATGTACAACAGAAAAAAACACTACCTGTTCCTGCACCATCCTCACAAATTGCTATGTCTGAGCCCATCATTGCAGCTACTGTGTCAGTCCGTCTCCTTCAGGGTCTTCTGTGGAGAGCCTTAAGTCTTAAAGGACATGGTGGGTGACTAATTGAGCAACGGCTCCCATAAATAGGTTGAAAAAATCCTCTTTTTTGCTGACCTTCTACTTTACTAAGCATGATGTCCTTCTCCAGGGACTGGTCCCTCCTGATAACATATCCAAAGTATGTGAGACAAAGTCTAGCCATCCTCGCTTCTAAGGAGCATTTTGGCTGTCTTTCTGTATTTGAGCTTAAATTCTAAAGCACTTGTATTGTGGGAGGTTGGGGTCTACAGCAGGAGCTCTGACTCCATTTTGAGTCTTGACATAGGTTCAGATGCATTTTGAGTTCATTCTGATCACTAAGCCAGCAATGTGGCTATGCAGGCACAAGTCTGGGGCAAACCTAGGCAGGGGCAGTTAGCCATCAGGAAGAGTGTGAAAGTAGATTATACTCATACAAACAACAAGGGAACTTGCCTGGGTGTGTCCTTAATGATTTACTGAAAATAACCACATGCTTAGCATAGTGCCTAAAGCATTTGACTGCTAACCAGAAGGCTGGCAGTTCAAACCCACCAGCCACTCCTTGGAAGAAAGGTTGGGCAATCTACTTCCCTAGTGATACTGCCTCAGAAACCCAAGGAGGGGTCACTATGACTGGATCCGACTGGATGGCAATGAGAGATATGATTTAAGTTAAAGGTTGTTGAGATCCTGGTATTGTCTCCTAGTCACCTTGTGGCCTGACATAGGGCTTCATGGTCATAAGTCATAACCTGACCACCACATAGCCAGTGGTCAAGCCCCAGAACCAATCCTATAACTCTTTTAAATCTTCAGTTGTGTATGTATCTCAGTCATGGTCTCTGTCCTGCTTCTATAGTCCAGCCTGTGACAGTGATTGACCTACCACTAATCATAATTTTCTGATGATTTCCTTTGTTTTATATAATAATTACCACCATGGCTACAAGCCAGAGAACTCCATTCAGCTTCTATATTGTGTACATGCTGATGGTTTCCCTCATCCTGGATGATTGTCTTCTTTTGTGCTTTTCCTGTTTAAGGCTTAATAAAATGGTTTCTATAGAATATGTTTGAATCTAGGGTCTTTTCCCCCCTAGCATACTTCAACCGCCACTCATCTGTCAGTTGTACTATGGTGGCTTGTGTGTTTCTATGAGTCCAGAGGCTATGCTACTGGTATTTCAAATACTAGCAGGGTCACCCATGGTGGACAGGTTTCAGTGAAGCTTCCAGATTAAGAAAGACTGAGAAGAAGGACAGGGCCATTCAATTCTGAAAAAATTGGCCTGTGGAAACATTATGAATAGCAGGGAAACACTGTCTGATATATTGCTTGAAAACTCTATGCACAGCCATGAAACATTGTGTGACATAGTGCCAGAAGATGAGTCCCTCAGGTTGGAAGGCACTCAAAATATGACTGGGCTGTCTCCTCAAAGTAGAGTTGACCTTAATGATGTGGATGGAGTAAAGCTTTTGGGAACTTCATTTGCTGATGGGGCATGACTCAAAATGGGAAGAAACAGTTGCAAATATCCATTGATAATAAGAATGTACACTGTACAAAGTATGCATCTAGGAAAATTGGAAGTTGTCAAAAATGAAAAGGAACACATAAAGATCAATATCCTTGGCATTAGTGAGCTTCCAGGAATGACAAATTGAAGAGAGATGATGTGGTATTCATTGTCAAAAGAGTGCTTCAAGATCTATCCTGAAGTACAGTGGTATCAGTGATAGGATAATATCCATACAGTTATAAGGAAGACCAATTATTACTACTACTATTCCAATTTACACACCAACCGCTAAAGCCAAAGATTAATAAATTAAAGATTTTTCCAAGTTCTGCAGTCTGAAATTGACAAACATCCAAACAAGGTGTACTGCTTATTGCTGATGACTGAATGCAAAAGTTGGAAACAAAAAAGAATCATAGGTATTGGAAAATATGGCTTTAGTGATAGAAATGACACTGGAGATCACATGATAGAATTTCGCAAGAAATTGGACACCATTGACTGAAGAGCAGATGAGTTGTGGGATGACATCAAGAACATTATATATGAAGAAAACAAATGGTCACTAAAAAGACAGGAAAGGAAGAAAAGACCAAAGTGGATGATAGAAGAGACTCTGAAGCTTGCTTTTGAACTTAGAGTAACTAAAGGAGCTCTGGTAGCATAGTGGCTAAAGCACTTGACTGCTAACCAGAAGGCTGGCGGTTCAAACCCACCAGCCACTCCTCGGAAGAAAGGTTGGGCAATCCTACTTCCGTAGTGATACTGCCTCGGAAACCCAAGGAGGGGTCGCTATGAGTCAGGGCTGACTCGACGGCACATAACAACAACAACAACAAAGTGAATGGAAGAAATGATAAGATAAAAGAGCTGAACAGAAGATTTCAAAGGGTGGCTTGAGAAGACAAATTATTATAATGAAATGTGCAAAGACCTGGAGTTAGAAAACCCAAAGGGAAGAACATGGTTGGCATTTCTCAAGCTGAAAGAACTGAAGAAAAATTCAAGCCTCGAGTTGCAATATTGAAGGATTCTATGGGCAAAATATTGAATGATGCACAAACCATCAAAAGAAGATGGAAGGAATACAGAGTTCTGTACCAAAAAGAATTGGTCAATGTTCATCCATTTCAGGAGGTGGCATATGATCAAGAACCAATGGTATTAAAGGAAAAAGTCCAAGCTGCACTGAAGGAATTAGCAAAAAACAAGACTCCAGGAATTGATGGAATACCAATTGAGATGTTTCAACAAACATGCAGTGCTGGAGTCACCTGCTTGTTCACATCAAAAAATTTGGAAACCAGCTACCTGGCCAATTGACTGGAAGAGATTGATACTTGTGCCCATTCCAAAGAAAGGTGATCCTACAGAATGTGGAAATTATCAAACAATATTATTAATATCACATGTAAGTAGAATTTTGCTGAAAATAATTCAAAAAGAGTTGCAGCAGTATATTGACAGGTAACTTCCAAAAATTG